CCCCTGCACGGCCTCACGGCGGTAAGGACCTCACCCCTGCACGGCCCCACGGCGGTAAGGACCTCACCCCTGCAAGCCCCTCGGTGGTGAGGGCCTCACCCCTGCACGGCCCCTCGGTGGTGAGGACCTCGGCACCCTGTCACCCCGTAACCTGTTGGAGCCGTTTTTGTCTGGGGTTTTTGGGAGAGGGAGCTGAAACCCCCAGAGAACCTGCCCGTCAGAGGCCACACAGCAATGACAGAACCAGTGTTCGAAGCCAGTTTTCAGACTTTGCTCCAAATCACCTCCTCCTCCAGGAAACCCCCTTGGGTTGCTCCTCCCGGCCCCACCCTGTGCCCTGTGGATGCCAGAATGAAACTGGGTTTATGGGCCCTGGGGCCTCACACATGCTTCCTCGTCAGCCGGCTGACCTCCATCCAAGGGGCAAAGGCTCCCTGCGGGGGTCAGGCCTCAGGACAGGAGTCGCACGGCAGGGAGGGGCCGTTCCTCTTTCTCATCCCTCTGGGCTGCAAACATTTTTGAGTCATCTCAGCTCCTTGGGCCCCTGGGCTGAGTTCCATCCGCAGACACCAGGCCAAGTCCCTGCTGGCCGCCCCGGAACCCAGGCTAGAACCTCGCCCCCCACCCAGGACCCAGGCCGAGCCTCCAGCCCCCGGCCTGAGGCTGCTTCCACCTGGATTCAGCCACCCCTCCTCCGAGTCCCCAAACCAGCACCCCGGGAGGTGTTTACTGCCCAGAACCTCCAGTCAGGGGCCTGGAGGGGTGAATAAGCTTCTCTCTAGAAGCCTCTGGAATTCCCCTAATCACGGAGGGGCCGCTGTGGCCTCTGGCCATGGGGGTGCCAACCCGGCCTCTCCCTCAGACGGTTCTGTGATTTGGGGTTCAACGCTTGTGGTGGAAACTGAAGCACCCGCAGAGTTCAGGGATAAGGGCCTCGCTCTCCCAGTGGGTCCCCTTGAGGCCCCAGAGTGCATGGGGGGCTGAGGGAAAGGCACCCCAGGGAGTCCCTGAGGGCAATGGCATGGGGCAGGGGACCTCCCTGCACTGAAGTCCTCCCAGGTAAGCAGACCCCGACCACGGGCGACACCCCCACGCAAATGTGGACCCAACCCCACACAGGACCCCGGCCCGGCATAGCCCAGGGCGCCCCCAGCCTCACCCGCCAGCTCCTGGCCCCGAAGCCTGCGGCCTCAGCTCTGGCTCCTCGATGGATACAGAGGCCTCTGAGCTCCGCCCGGCCTGCCGGGTTGCTAGGGGAGAGAGGCCCCACCCAGGGGAAGCAGGTGTGCCCCCTCCCCCCCAGCCCCACCTGGGCTTGGCTCAGGAAACAAAGTCCAGAGGAGGAGGGAGAAAGACGATACCAGGCTGGGCAAGGGCGGGCACGGTGCCCGCTGTGGGCTGCCCCTCCACTCCCAGGCCTCCACACAGCCCCAAGGAGCCAGAACTCAGTCGAAATCACCTTCAGCGGCCTGGCTCTGCTGCCGCCTCTCAGCCCCGCTCAGAGAGGGACAGCGTGTGCCCAGGGTCACACAGCAGCTCAGCAGCCACAGTGGCCTGTGTGTCCTGGGGGCGCGGAGGGGCTGAGTCCCAATCCTGTCTGTGCCTCCTGCCCCAGCCCACCCCTTAGGGCAGCTCCCCTAGTTGGCCCCTTTCTTGCATAAAGCAGGTTTGGGAGATTCTGGAGGTTCAGTGTGGCCTGGGTTCTTGCCCCACCTGACCTCTCTGAGTCCCGTTTCCTCCTCCTCCATGATGTTCCCTGTGGGGGAACATCATGCCCAAGCTCCCTCAGGGCTGCTGGGGAGAATTCCCCAGGCCCCATCAACATAAAGAACCCTACAAGGGGGCCGGGCGCGGTGGCTCACCCCTGTAATCCCAGCACTTTGAAATGCCGAGATGGGCGGATCACTTGGGGCCAAGAGTTTGAGACCAGCCTGGCCAACATGGTGAAACCCCATGTCTACTATAAATACAAAAATTAGCTGGTCGTGTTGGCAAACACCTGTAGTCCCAGCTACTCGGGAGGCTGAGGCAGGAGAATCGCTTGAACCCAGGAGGTGGAGGCTGCAATGAGCCGAGATCGCACCACTGCACTCCGGCCTGGGCGACAGAGCGAAACTCCAACTCAGAAAAGAAAAGAAAAAACTGCACAAGGTCAAAAGACGCAGCCCCCCTGAAAGATGGGGACATGGAGGTCCTCAGACGCCCAGGGTCCTCCTGGGTTTTTGGTCAAGGCGCAGAGGGCCTGCTGGGACTGTGGGTAGCGGCAACTGTGGGGAAGCCGGGCCACTGGCCTAGTGCCATCTACGAGGGGGAGGAACACAGCAGAGTGGGCACAGCTTCAGTTCCCCAGGCTGGGGCTCTGTCCTGACCCACCCCTCGGCTGCTTGTGGAACCCCTCTGAACCTCAGTCTCTTTTCCAGTAAAAAGACTCCCAGCTCTGAATCTGGCAATCCGGCAGGGCTGCTCAGGATGGGGTTTTTTTTTTTTTTTTTTTTTTTTTGTGAGGCGGAGTTTTGCTCGTTACCCAGGCTGGAGTGCAATGGTGCGATCTCGGCTCACCGCAACCTCCGCCTCCTGGGTTCAGGCAATTCTCCTGCTTCAGCCTCCTGAGTAGCTGGGATTACAGGCACGCGCCACCATGCCCAGCTAATTTTTTGTAGTTTTTAGTAGAGACGGGGTTTCACCATGTTGACCAGGATGGTCTCAATCTCTTGACCTCGTGATCCACCCGCCTCGGCCTCCCAAAGTGCTGGGATTACAGGCTTGAGCCACCGCACCCGGCCCCGAAGGCTTATTTCACAGATGGCGAAACAGGCCCAGAGGAGGCAGTGACTTCTCCAAGACCACAGCATGAGAGAGAGTGGGGCTACCGGGCACCTTCCCCGGAGCGTGAAGCTGGTCTCTCCATACAGACACTTCCTCCCCAGCCCCCTGTGTATCTCTCAGGGGCCGGCTTCTTTGCTGAGCTTGGGGTGTCCAGGGGACCCTTCTGTTATCACCCAGGGGCTGTGAGCCCTGCAAAATGAGGAGCCAAAGGGCAGGGTGGGGTGAATGCAGAACCCAGGGGCTCCCCACAGCAGCCCCTTACCTCCAGGCCTTACCTGCACGGCAGGGATTCCACCAGCGCCTCCCACCACCCCACGGCGCCCAGGGTGAGCCCAGCAGGTGAACAGGTGCAGGCGGGTGAAGCCAGCTCTCCCGAACCCCGATCAGCTTCCCTTTTATGTCTCCAAGGCCTGAAGGCCCCACCCCCCTGGCCTGGCCACGCCTTCCTCGCCAGGTTGAAAGCCAAGAACTCCAGGAACTGGGGCTGTTCACGCGGTTTATTTGCTTCTCTGGGAAAATCAAGAACATCGGGGGCCTCGTCACACACCAAAAGCAGAGGGGCAGCAAGGGCACTTCAGCGAAGGCTCGCGGCTCGAGGGACTCGGGCGGACTCAAGGGAGGAGGAGGGGGTTCCGCGGCTGATGCCCAGGTCACCCCCGAGAGGGCCTCTCCTCCCAGCCACCCAGGGGCAGAGCGGAGGCAGGGACCCAGGCTCGCCTCCGAGGTGGCCCCGTACCTGCCCTGCTGAGGCTGCAGGCGGGCACCAGGCTGAGCGCGGGCACCAGGCTGGAGCCTGGTTGTCCAAAGCCAACGCGTGAGAAGGTGTCTGTGAGAATGTGCACGAATGTGCCTCTGGGGACGAGGGTGGCTGCCCCCAGGAGGGAAGCCCCTTGCCAATTCCAGTGAGAGGGGACTGGGGGCAGGCTCACATTGGTCTGGGTGGCAAATGAGGGTCTCCTGCTCCAACCCAAGAGGAGACTTCCTGTCCCAGGCCGTGTCCCTCCCTCTACTGCCCGGACATGCTCCAAGCCCAGTAGAGCTGGCAGATGGGGCCTGATCTCTGGGATTTGGTTGGGAAGACCCAGGACCCTGGTCCAAGCAGGTTGGAGAAGAGGCCGGGGGCGGCCCCTAGGGTCCCCAAATTAGCACCAGGAGGAAGGAGGGCCCAGTGGGGTTGGAAGCTCAGGGCAAGGAGTGGCTCACTCGGTCCCTGCCCTGTGCAGGGGCACATCAATGACCCCTGGTTCACCCCATCTAGAAGACAGCCCAGGGGTTACAGGCCCCTCCCGAGTGGGGGGATGACCCGAGGTGTACCCCTCCCTCAGACTCCACTGTCCACTGGTTGGGCCCATGGAGGGCATGGGGGCACAGCAGGCTGGGGGTGCCAGAGGGGCTCTTCCTCCACCCAAGACCTTGAGCCCCAAAAGAGGCACGGCCTCACCCCAACTGCCTGAGATTGGGGGGCCAGCGCCTTTGCTGGGAAACCCCGTGGAGTCCCCTTCTGGGGACTGAGCAGGCCCCAGTGCCCCCCAGCTCCCGGGGCCCTCTCTGGCGGGGTGTCCCCTCAGAGAAAGGCACAGGCGGGAGGCCCAGAGGGTGGCAGGCTGGCCTAGGCCACGTGGAGGCCGCGGGTTCCACCAGCCAGGACCTCGGTGGGCGCGAGCCGCGTCTGCGAAGCTGCCGTGACGTGGGGGGGCCTCGTTTCGGGAAAAGCGGGTCTGCCCTGTCCTCTCCTACCAGGCGCAAGAGCACGGCTCTGGTTCGGGGGGAGTGTTGGGGCATGGTGACAGGCGGGGGCCCCTGTCCCTCTTTCCAGTGAAAGAAAACTCGGAAGGAACATGTAACAACTCGCCCGGTCCTAGGCTGTGGGTGGAGGGTGGGCAGGCGCCGGGAGGGGCCGGGCTGGTGGGTGTCTGTGGTGGGGGTGGGGGCCGGGGTCTCAGGGGCCGGGCCGGCTCACATGATGGAGCAGCATTTACAGCGCTGTTTCTTCATGTCGAGGTCCTGGGGGTCGCTGGTGGTGGCCTTGGGCCCCGCCTGGTTCTCCTCCCTGGTGCCCGCCTCTGTGGGAGGCTCGGCCGCACTGCCATTGGGCGGGGCGGGCTCCTTGGGCTCCGCGGCGTCTTCGATGACCACCAGCTCCGCCGTGATGGTGTCTTGAAGGCCCAGCACCTTCTTGGTCTCTGCCTCGTCCTCCACGTTCTGGTAACCCATGAAGATCATGGTGACCGGGGGCTCCTGGCCCGGCTGGATCCCCGGCGGGCCCGACGTGGCCTCGCCTGGCTGTGCCTGCACCCCGGTGATCTCACGCCGGGAGGGCGTGGTCCGGGCCGCCTCCTCCACGGCTCCCCGGGTCTCTGCGGCCCCTGCCGTGGACCCTGCCTCGCTCATCGTGACCTCGTCCGCTTTGTGGATGAGTTCGTCCACCTCGGAGGAGCTCAAGGGGTGGATCCCGTTCTCGGCGGTGCCGTCCACAGCATGGACCACTGTACAAGGAGAGACAGAGAGGGTGACCTGGCTGGAGGCGGGAGGGACAGAGGGAGTGACCTGGCCGGAGGCGGGAGGGACAGAGGGAGTGACCTGGCTGGAGGCGGGAGGGTCAGTGGGAGTGACCTGGCCGGAGGCGGGAGGGACAGAGGGAGTCACCTGGCTGCAGGCAGGAGGGACAGAGAGAGTCACCTGGCGGGAGGCGGGAGGGTCAGAGGGAGTCACCTGGCTGGAGGCGGGAGGGACAGAGGGAGTCACCTGGCTGGAGGCGGGAGGAACAGAGAGAGTGACCTGGCTGGAGGCGGGAGGGACAGAGAGAGTGACCTGGCTGGAGGCGGGAGGGACAGAGGGAGTCACCTGTCTCGGGGCGGGAGGGAATCCTGGGGAAAGCTCATCACCTCCTCGAGGTCAAAGAGGAAATCACGAACTAGATTTCTATTTTTTTTTTTTTTTTTTTTAAAAGACGGGCTTTCGCCATATTGGTCAGGCTGCTCTTGAACTCCCGACCTCAGGTGATCCGCCCGCCTCCGCCTCCCAAAGTGCTGGGATTACAGGCGTGAGCCACCGCGCCCGGCACGAACTAGCTTTCTGATTCAGAACTGGCAGACAATGGAAGCTCCCTGCTGGCTTCTGCAGATGCAGCCAGAGTCGTGCAATGAGGAAGTTGTTATTATTATTATTTTATTTATTTTTTTGAGACGGAGTTTCGCTCTTGTCACCCAGGCTGGAGTGCAATGGCGCGATCTCGGCTCACCGCAACCTCCGCCTCCTGGGTTCAGGCAATTCTCCTGCCTCAGCCTCCTGAGTAGCTGGGATTACAGGCACGCGCCACCATGCCCAGCTCATTTTTTGTATTTTTAGTAGAGACGGGGTTTCACCATGTTGACCAGGATGGTCTCGATCTCTTGACCTCGTGATCCACCCGCCTCGGCCTCCCAAAGTGCTGGGATGACAGGCGTGAGCCACCGCGCCCGGCCCAGGCTAATTTTTGTATTTTCAGTAGAGACGGGGTTTCATTATGGTGGCCAGACCTCAAGTGATCCAACTGCCTTGGCGTCCCAAAGTGCTGGGATGACAGGCGTGAGCCATATTTTTATCATTATTAGTTTCTGAGACTGAGTCTCTCTCTGTCGCCCAGGCTGGATGCAGTGGGGCGATCTCGGCTCACGGCAACCTCCGCCTCCCGGGTGACAGCGATTCTCCTGCCTCAGCCTCCCGAGCAGCTGGGACTACAGGCGTGCACCACCACGCCCGGCTAATTCTGTATTTATAGTAGAGACGGGGTTTCTCCATGTTGGCCAGGCTGGTCTCAAACTCCCGACCTCAGGTGATCCGCCCACCTTGGCCACCCAAAGTGCTGGGATTACAGGCGACAGCCACCGCGCCGGCCAATGAGGGAAATCTATAGGCACCAAGGCATTTATTAGGAACCAAGGAAGAGTGAAAAGAAATCAATTGGGATTTTTTTTTTTTCTGAGACAGAATTGCCCAGGCTGGAGTGCAATGGCGCGATCCCAGCTCACTGCCACCTCTGCCTCCCTAGTGTAAGCCATTCTCATCCTCTGTCTCCTGAGCAGCTGGGATTACAGGACTGCACCAACGTGCCTGGTCATTTTCTGTATTTTTTGTAGGAATGGGGTTTCACTATGTTGGCCAGGCTGGTCTTAAACTCCTGACCTCAAGTGCTGAGATGACGGGCATGAACCACCACGCCCGGTCACAAATTGGGATTTTATTGTTTCCCGTTTTGAAGCACGGTGACCCTTGGACCACGTGAGACTGAACTGTGTGGGTCACTTCTACGTGGATTTTCTTTCACCTCTGCCCTCCGAGACGGCAAAACCAACCCCTCCTCCTGCTCCTCCACCTACTCAGCATGAAGATGACAAAGACCTTTAGGATGAGCCACTTCCTCTTAATGAACAGTAAATATATTTTCTCTTTCTTTTCCTTTTCTTTTTTCCTTTTTTTTTGTAACCAAGGCTGGAGTTGCTACGGCGGTGAGATACCAGCTCACTGCAGCCTCTGCCTCCCAGGTTCAAGCAATTCTCCTGCCTCAGCCTCCCAAGTAGCTGGGATCGCAGGTGCCTGTCTTTTCTTTGAGGCAGACCAGGCTGGCGTGCAGTGCCGCCATCTCGGCTCCCTGCAACCTCCGCCTCCTGGGTCTGAGTGATCCTCCTGCCTCAGCCTCCCGAGTAGCTGGGATGACAGGCACGTGCCACCATGCCCAGCTATGTGTTATATTTTCAGTAGAGTCGGAGTTTCACCACGTTGGCCGGGCCGGTCTCGAACTGCTGACCTCATGCCATCATCATCCCCCCACCTCAGCCTTCCAAAGTGTTAGAATTACAGGCGCGAGCCTCCGTGCCTGGCCACAGGTGCCTAATTTTTGTATTTTTACTAGAGACGGGGTTGATATTCATGGTTTTGGTAGAGTCGGAGTTTCACCACGTTGGCCTCGCTGACCTCAGGTCCTCCCCCCACCTCGGCCTCCCAAAGTGCTGGGATGACAGGCGTGAGCGCCCGCGTTCAGAATCTTTCCTCTTCTTTATTTTTGACACAGTGTCACAGTCTGTTGCCCGGGCTGGGGTACAGTGGCGGGATCACCGCTCACTGCAGCCTCGACCTCCCAGGTTCAAGCAGTCCTCCCAAATCAGCCGCCCGAGCGGCTGGGACCACAGGTGCGTGCTTCCACACCTGGCCATTTTTCTTTTTTGTGGAGGCGAGTTCTCCTGATGTCTCCCAGGCTGGCCTTGAACACTGAGGTTCAGGCTCCTCCACCCTGGCCTCCCAAAGCACGGACGGGCGTGAGCCACCGCACCTGGCCTCGATTTTCCTTCTTTTTTTTTTCTTTTGCAGGTGAGATGCATCAAAGTGCAGAAAATAAGATATGTTTGGAACTACTTACAAGGACAGTTCCAGAAAATTGGGCACGTTGCTTTAGCAAGTACAAAGAAGAAAAATGTTATCTCAAAAGTATTATGGCTAAATGTGTTCTTTTCCTAATTGTTATCTTAGCTCTTTGGAAGACTGGCTCAGGTCTGCCAAGACACATCAAAAATTTGGATCGGGCTTAACAAGAGAAGAACCAGACATTAGGTACCATGCATATTATTGCCTGCAGTAGTTCAAAAGGGTGATTATCAGTTAGCCAAATAGATCAGTCAATAGTTATGTTAATGGATTAATATCAGAAAATATTGTAATATTACAAGGGCCTTGATTTTCTTAATGCAATTTTATTTTCTCTAACTTGCTATATTGTAAGAATATATTATATAATACTCATACAATAGACGTGTTACGGCTCCCTGTGCCATCAAGAAGGCTTCCAGCCAATAGGAGGCTGTTAGCATTTCAGTTCGGAAAGACTGGCCCGGCACGGCGGCTCCCGCCTGTCATCCCAGCACTTTGGGAGGCCGAGGTGGGCTGATCACTTGAGGTCAGGAGCTCAAGACCAGCCTGGACAACAAGGTGAATCTCCGTCTCTAATAAAAAAACACAAATAGGCCGGGCGCGGTGGCTCACGCCTGTGATCCCAGCACTTTGGGAGGCCGAGGCGGGTGGATCACGAGGTCAAGAGATCGAGACCATCCTGGTCAACATGGTGAAACCCCGTCTCTACTAAAAATACAAAAAATCAGCTGGGCATGGTGGCGCGTGCCTGTAATCCCAGCTACTCAGGAGGCTGAGGCAGGAGAATTGCCTGAACCCAGGAGGCGGAGGTTGCGCTGAGCTGAGATTGCGCCATTGCACGCCAGCCTGGGCAACAGAGCAAAACTCCATCTCAGAAAAAAAACGTTTTGGGAAAGTGAAAAGTTATCCGTGGTTTTTCAACAGCGCAGGGTCGGTGGCCCTAATACCTGTGCTGTTCAAGGGTTAACTCTACAGTAATTCCTTTTTTTGTGTGTGTGAGGGAGTCTCACTGTCACCCAGGCCGGAGTGCAATGGCTCAATCTCAGCTCATTGCAACCTCCGCCTCCCGGGTTCAAGTGAATCTCCTGCCTCAGCCTCTCAAGTAGCTGGGACTACAGGTGTGCGCCACCACGTCCGGCTAATATTTCCTATTTTTAGTAGAGACAGGGTTTCGCCGTGTTGATCAGGCTGATCTTGAACTCCTGACCTCAGGTGATCTGCCCGCCTCAGCCTCCCAAAATGCTGGGATTACCGGCATGAGCCACTGCACCTGGCCTATAATTCCACATATTTTAGCCAACTGGCTCCCACGCGATCACCCTGAAAAGTAGGTATTCTTTCCCATTGTAAAGACAGCAAAAATGAAAGTTCAAAGAAGGAAGCGACTGGCCCAAGGTCATATATCTGCGCAGGGCTAAACCCCTGCTGTGTCCCCGCGTCTAGGTTTGTTTCTCTTATACAAGACAGGACCACCCACCCTGGGGAACTGGAGGTTAGATGTTACAGGGATTCTGATATTTTCCTTTTTCGAGTGTATTTGATTGATCTTAAACTAACATTTTCATTCATTTTAAGTTTCATTCATTTCTTTTTTTGTTTTCTACGAAGTGCCCTAAAGACTACGCATTTTCCTCCGAGTTCTGCTTTGGCTGCATCCCACAGATTAGATTATGTTATTCACTTTCAAGTGTATTTTTGTTTTTTGTTTTTTTTGTTTTTGAGAAGAAGTCTTTCTCTGTCGCTAGGCTGGAGTGCAGTGGCACTATCTTGGCTCACTACAGCCTCTGCCTCCCAGGTTCAAGCGATTCTCTTGCCTCAGCCTCTCCAGTAGCTGGGACTACAGGTGCATGCCACCATGCCTGGCTAATTTTTTTGTATTTTTAGCAGAGACAGGGTTTCACTATGTTAGCCAGGATGGTCTTGATCTCCTGACCTCATGATCCACCTGGCTCAGCCTCCCAGAGTACTGGGATTACAGGCGTGAGCCACTGTTCCTGGCTCAGAAAGGTGTTTTTAAATTTCAAGGGGTAGAGGAACACAGAGCAGACGACATAAGCTTTTAACAGTCCCCAAGCCTCCTTGGCAGCCTAGGTCGTGGTGGTCACGTTCTGCCAATGTTCTGTGTTTGAATTCTCCATTGGGATGCGTTTTAAACATATAATCAGTCTTGCTGTATGTGTTTCCCAAGACTTTCCAAAGTCCCTTATCTGTGTCTCTCTGACTTGTCATTTTCTGAGCTGCGCTGGACCCTCCAAGGACCGGATCTCGGCACCCCCGAAGGACTCCCAGCTGTGGTCTGAAGCCAGCCCTAGATCACAGCCCTGCAAATTCCTTCTAGAAATGCAGCTGCCTGCACCACGCTGGGACTTGGTAGGGACACAGTGGGGGCCCAGGGACTCGCCTCCTCTGGGCCAAGGGTCAGGGCTCCTGTTCCTGGCTCTAGGCCAGAAGGAAAGTGCTCTCTATGTTCAGTTTCTAAACCCCCAGGGAGGGGAGTCCATGCTTCAAGGCCTCTCGGTGACTTTGGGCAGGAGGCCCGGGGGGTGGGGTGTGTCTGGATCATGCAGAATTGAATTCAGTGTCTCACTGACCACTGCCCCAAGACAGGAATGGGAGCCCTGGGCTGCCATGGAAACGGATTACCTTCCCGTTGCTAAGCAACCAGTGCCCAGCCCGGCAGGCAAGTCTGGAATCCCCCGGGGCCAGGTGAGGCTGCAGAGGGTGGAGGGGGGGTGGGGGAGGGGAAGGCGAGGCATGGGGACTCCCAGGCCCACATGGCTGGGACGAGCTGGAGCTGAGATGCTACCCGTACCACACCCCAAATCCCCCCCAGGGAGCTGGGCTGTGGGGACCCCTCTGACAGCATCTGGGGCGCTGGAGAGGCCCAAGCTGAGAACGGAAGGCTTTGGGAATCTAAACCACAGGGGGCCCCAGTTCACACCACCAGGAGGGCAAAGGGAAGGGGCTACAGGCACTGGTGAGGACACGGGGAAACTGGGTCCTTGTCCGACAGCCGCGGGAAGGAGACGGTACAGCTGCCATGGAAAGCGGCAGGCCCTCCCTGAGCTCCAGTCACCTCAGGACCCAGCAGTTCGCTCCCAGGTGCACACCCAGAGGCCTCAAAAGCAGGGGCGTGAACAAATATTTGCACACAAATCTCCCCAGCACTCTACGCACGGAAGCCCGAACGTCTACAGATGGAAGAAGGGGTAAGCCCAACGCGGTCCACCCGACCTGTGGAATAGTATTCAGCCATGAAAAAGAGCAAGGCTCTGACCCAGGCCACATTGCAGATGCACCTTGAGGACGTCACACGCAGTGAGAGACGCCAGACACAAGGCCACACGCAGTGTGTGATCTCATTTTTTTTTTTTTTTTTTAAATAGAGACTGGTTTCACTATGTTGGTCAGGCTGATCTCGAACTCCTGACCTTGTGATCCGCCCGCCTCGGCCTCCCAAAGAGCTGGGATGACAGGCGTGAGCCACCGCGCCCAGCCTGAGGTGGAGTTTCACGCTTGTCTCCCAGGCTGGGGTGCAGTGGCGTGATCTCGGCTCACCGCAACCTCCGCCTCCCGGGTTCAAGTGATTCTGCGGCCTCAGCCTCCCGAGTCGCTGGGACTACAGGCATTTGCCACCATGACTGGGTCATTTTGTATTTTTAGTAGAGACAGGTCATGTTGGCCAGGCTGGTCTCGAACCCCTGACCTCAGGTGATCCGCCCGCCTCGGCCTCCCAGGGTGCGGGGATTACAGGCGTGAGAAATGTCCAGGACAGGCCAATCCAGAAAGACAGAGGGGAGGCGTGGGCGCCGGGCCGGGCACGTCTCGGGGAGTGACGCCTGATGGGGACGGGCTGCTTTCCTTTTTCGTTTTGAGACAGGTCTTGGCCTGTCGCCCAGGCTGGAGTGCGGTGACGCCATCGCAGCTCACGGCAGCCTCCGTGTCCCCGGCCCAAGTGAGCCTCCCAATAAGGCAGAATTTTACGGTTGGCGGATTCTGTCTCACAAGGAAAAAGCGTGTGACTCGGCACGTTGGGGGCCAGGCGGGAGGGTCCCCCGAGTCCGGGAGCTGGAGGCTGCGGGGGCTGTGATGGTGTCACCGCGGTGCGGCCTGGCGGACAGAGCGAAAACTGTCTCTAAAAAACAAATAAATACAAAGAAAAGAGAGAGAGAGAGAGAGAGAGAGGGGAGGAGGGAGGGAGGGGGAGGGGGAGGGACAGGGAGGGAGGGGGAGGGAGGGGGAGGGGGAGGGGGAGGGGAGGGACGGGGAGGGAGGGGGAGGGGCTGACTTTGGGGCTTGTGTGCGCGGCGGCCTCCTCCCTCCCACAGCCTGTCTGCCTCTAGGCCACCAGGAGCCATTAAACCCGAATCAGACCTCAGCCCCCCCCCCCCCCCCCCCGGGACCCAGAGCACCCAAAGCCCTCGGGACACAGCCCCGCCCGGCCCCAGGCTCCGGGGAAAGCACCCTTCCTCTCCCTGCATGAGCCCGGCTCCCCGCACCCCTGCAGCCCGGCTCCACTCACCCCTGCAGCCCGGCTCCACTCACCCCTCCAGCCCGGCTCCCCTCACCCCTCCAGCCCGGCTCCCCACACCCCTCCAGCCCAGGTCCCCACGCCCCTCCAGCCCGGCTCCCCTCGCCCCTCCAGCCCGGCT